CCGGATACGGAGTGAGGACGAGCACAAGGAAAGAGCCACGCGACTGAGACCATCCACGTCTGACTCAGAACTGACCAACGAGCGACGTCGGGACTTAATATGGAAATGGGGTACGCGGAGTGTGTCGAAGCCCTTCCGCTCTAAATGAAGATCCGTAGCACGGTGGGAAGCTCGACAATAATTTTTGGATTGAATTTGGATTTTTCTCTTTTCGCGCCGTTCCCACGCGCGCATTCCGCGACGCGCGAAAGCAACCGACTTACTTCATCGGGCCAACACGGGGGATTTTAGTTTTGTCTGTGTCCCCACCTTGTTGTTTTTCCTGGGCCTTCATTCCGCACCTTTAGCACTCCGAACGAAAGACAACACAAGGCGTAAGGTTGGTATCGGAGCCGACACGTGTCGGTTCTGATGATAGTAAGTCGAGTTGGCGAGAGGTAGAAGAAGTCCTCAACCTGCTCGTCAAGATCGCCCAGTGACCAGATCTAGATCTGGTGCGGCTATACCAGCTATGTCGATGGCAGACGGTAACGTAGCGCCCCCCAGGGTAATTGTTAGTATTCCCGCCCCCTTTCCTTTCTTTCCTAATCACACCCACCCTGAAGCTTGGTTGGAAGCCGTCGAAGCCCAAGGGTATGGCGCGAGAGATCTCCCCCGCATCCTCACCTTGCTGCTTCGCAACACAACGCATGATTGGTTTAGGCACACGTGGGTAGACTGGAACACCTTTAGGCAAGCCTTCCTGGCTAGATTTGATATGGTTAGCGAAGATGCCGCCTGGTATGTTCTCAAGACTCGACCATAAGGAGCAGGGGAATTGCTTCCCGACTTCGTGGATCGATTTCAAACTACGTTAGACAAATCAGAGCGAGATGAAAAGTCCGCCCGAGATTTGTTCATCGATCATCTACGAAGTCCGACGTTAAAAGGTAAGTTGCAAAAAAAGGCCCCCCCTAAAACGCACCAGCTATCCGCTATCATCGCTAAGGCACTTGAGTTGGACCTGACGGATACCAAGAAGGGAGACGAAGACATTACGGACACGATCCAAGATGTAGCGGCGAAAAGACGATCGTGGTTGCGAGCGGTGGAACGTTTCTACCCTCGGCCTGATCATGACCTTCCCGAAGGGGCTGTCTCTGATATTCCGTCAGTTCCTTCTCCTCCATCCCTCTCAATGAATCAACAGGTAGCAATGGTTAAACCCAGAAGCTCCCAAGATTCCTCCCCTATGGCCATAACAAACATGCACTTAGCACAGATGATCCATACAGCTACCACCAAACAATCAGAATGGATGAGCAACCTGGTCCAGATGCAGGCGGCTCACATGGATCGAATGGAACAGATAATGAACAGACTAGTTAAGCCCAACCCGGCTCCTGCTCGACCTGCCCCTGCATCGTTCCCGCTTTTGCCTGCTCCGCCTGCACCAGGACATGCACAGCAGCTCCCTCACACAGCCAGCCTGGCAGGGAAAATCGAGTGTTTCAAGTGCAAACAACCTGGGCATTTCGCAAGGGACTGCCCGCAGCCGAAACGAAATCAACCCCTACCTGCTGCAGCCCCCATAGCTCTGAATCAAGGACGAGTGGCCGCACTAATGGATACGGCCCGAAGCGAGGAGATCGTTGCGTACACCCCTGAGCTCCCTTCCCCCTCCATGGCAGTTGCATCGACCTCGGGAATTTCCTCCTCTGACGCTGCTGACGTGGTCGATCCGCTCGAATACCTTCATCTCGCCGGAATGATCGGAGCAATCCGACCAGCTCAGGACGATCTTGAATGGGTCGAACCCGAATCTAACCCCGAACCACAGTTTCGGACGGGCGAAATCGATGTCCTAAGAACGCTTAAGCAGCTGGACATTCGTGTTCCGGTCCCGGTGGGGCATTTGCTCACCATATCCGAAGCAGCGAATGACAAGCTGCTGCAATTATGTCAGAAGAATCAAAAGTGATTTACGTACCAGCGCATACAACGGATGTTGAAGAAAAAGGAGGAATAAGGAGCGGAGGATGTTGCATCGCCTGAACCCAAAGATGGTGAACCCGAAGCAGCGCGAGTAGCTGCAATTTCTCTAGCAGAGAAAGATCACTTCGTGAGAGCTCGACCGGTGCTGTGGAAAAGTGTTGAATGTGATTGCGAGGTATGGGGCAATCCTCTTTTAACGCCTCATCGATACTGGCTCCTCTGCGGTCACCATATCATTAGACACCGTAAAGAGAACGGGACGACTCAATTCGATTCTCCCTCAATCTGCCAAGGACCAATACGTCTCTGCCGACGAAGAAGCAATGAATATTGTAGGAGTCATCGAGAATGTGGCCGTGAAAGTTGGACGAGTGCACGTCCTCGTTAACTCTTTAGTCATAGATGTGCACTCATATTCGGTATTGTTGGGACTGCCTTGGGCAATGGCAGTAGGTGCCCGCCTGCATTTCAATTCCAAGCAGTTGGTTCTCACACAAACAGGAGAAAAGCCTCAAACAGTTCCGTTGCGAGTTTCAACCCGAACAGTAAAAAAGAATCCTAACCCTGCTCGGATAGGGATGATTCAAGGTCCCAATCACGAGGAATCTTCATCCCCGGATAACAGTAGCGGATTCGAAGAACAGGAGTGCGAGAAAGAGATGCCTAGCGAGAGTGAATGGAAACACTTGGTCGAACTCTTCGAGCACGAAACCCCCGAGGAGTTTCGAATGGTCCCCAGAGGCGCCCGAACCTTCCACACGAGTCTGGAAAACAGCGCGCTCACACCCATGGAAACCCAGGTCAGTCCTTCGACCTTTCTCGGAGAGCCCATCCTGCAAATATTTGACCTGGCAGACGATTTGGAACCCCCTCGCACCTTGTACGAGGGAACGCTTTCTCTACGAGCACGTTATAAACAGGTGAAACAATACCAAGATGTTTTTGTTTCCCCTCCAAGATCACTGCTTACGACAGGGGCGACCATCGCTCTGATTAAACAAGAAGCTGAAACTCATGTCAATGATGTGCCTGATCTAATGCAAGAAATGGTGGACCTAACAGGACTAACAGTGGAAGGAACCTCCGCTGATTCGAAAACTGACGCCAAAGCTAAAGAGACCGAGATGATTAGCCCTGCTGAATCCCAGATGATCACGACTGTATTTTCTGTCCGCACTAGCAGCTCTATTTTCTCTAGCGTCCATGACCGACGGGATCGGCCTGATGAGTCAATCGACATACCCCTGGAAATACCGGATCAACCGACCGTTACCCTGCCAACCTACGTCCCCCTGGAATTCCGACGATCACTAATTAAAGTCTTGAATGGGTACGTGGAGGTATTAAGTGTGCGCGATAACGATATCGGACTGTCCAACGTGATTGAGCATGCCATCCTTACAGGAGATCATCCGCCCATTAGTTGCGTCCCTTATCGATACTCGTCAGCCCAACTGGCGGCCGCGTTTCAGCGAATCAAGGAATTTGAGGCTAATGGATGGATTGAACCTGCAATAGGACCTTGGTCATTTCCTGTAGTAATCGTGCCCAAAAAGGCCGGAGGGATTCGCATATGCATCGATTATCGAAAGTTGAATGATATCACGATCAAAGATGTGTATCCCCTTCCTCGGATTGATGAGTTGTTGGATGTGATTGGGAGTGCTCGATTTTTCAGTAAGTTTGATGTCCGACATGGGTTTCATCATCTTCTTGTTCGAGAGGAGGACCGTCCGAAAACGACGTTTGTACTGTTTGAAGGAACTTGGCAGTGGGTTCGATGTCCGATGGGCATCTGCAATGCTCCAGCAACTTTCCAGCGAGCCATGAATATGGCTTTTCAGAACTTTGTGCGGAAGACACGACTGGCGCAGAGCATCATCAATTACTGTGTAATCGTGTATATGGATGATATTCTGGTCTATTCGAGTTTCTACGAGGGGCATGTGCAGCACATCGAGTGGACGCTACACGCTTTGAGAGATGTGGGTTTCAAGGTGGCGCTTGAGAAGTGTCAGTTCTTTCTCACCACTATTTCCTTCCTAGGACACGTGGTGACCAACCAGGGACTCCGACCGGAACCGCAAAAGGTGGCAACAGTGAGAGACGCACCTGTGCCCACGACCATCACGCAAGTTCGCGCCTTTTTGGGCCTGGCCTCGTACTACCGAAGGTTTATTAAGGGCTTCGCGGCTATTGCGGGTCCCCTTACATCTGCTGAAAAAGGATCAGCCGTTGATCTGGACGCCAGAGTGTGATCGAGCGTTCTCGAAACTCAAGGCAGCCCTCATTTCGGCTTCGGTCCTTATAAGGCCGGATCCTGCGAAGCCTTTTGTCCTCATCACGGATTGGCAGCCGGAGGCAATCTCGGCGATCTTGGCCCAGGTGGGACCCGACGGACTCGAAGGCGTGGTTGAATACGCGTCTAAATCGGTGCCAGCCTGCAAACGCAACTACGCCGCCCCGACCGGAGAATGCTATGCGGCTCTGTGGGGAATCAGCCACTTTCGAGCTTATCTGTATGGACGGAAGTTCACATTGGTCACCGATCATGAGCCATTATTAGCCCTGAAGAAATCGAAGGATTACTCGGGAATGATCGGGAGATGGGCGACAGTGCTACAGAGCATGGACTTTGACATTCGTCATCGGAAGCACGAGAGGCACGGGAATGCTGACGGGTTGACACGACTGCACCGACCCGAGAAGGTCCTCAAGAGTGAGGAGGTGATTTCGTGGAACGAGCCGAAGGAGGAGAACGGACCGAGATACAGACAAGTGGAAATTCTGTCGAAAGAGTGAGTGACACGTAGCTTCGCTCTGCCCCCTCTGCAGCCCTGCTCACTCTCTCTCTCTCCTCCTCTCTCATCATGACTGCCCCACCTGTCTCTATGACCCCTTCTCCCCCTGCTGATTCCGGCTCTCTCGCCAGTTCGGCCTTCTTTGCCACCCTTCCCGACAGATTCTGCTATTTTTGCACGTGTATCACACGGGTATATGGGGTGAATTGTCATCCTTTTGAAATCGGATTCGTTGTGCCACGTGTGTCAATCGTGCACACGGTGCATGTGTTCGGTACCGAACAAATAGCAGGGAATGGAAATGTCCTCTGTGTAGAACGGATAAACTGCCTACTGAGGTTCGATTCGAGGTTGCCCGTAATACGACGAGAAATACCGACGAGCAGAGGTATGGACGGATAAAATCCTATTGGCTAAGCTGGTTGGGTTACCATTGGATCATCTCACTAAGCACGACAGACGTCGGGCTACTGAGAGATCTCGGGATTACCGATGGATCAACGGTCACCTAGAAAAGCGTAAAACTGACGGATCGGGTTTGTGGTTGACGGTTCCTCATCCATTCCAGAGATATGACTAGACCCGATCTGCTCATGAAGAACAGGCCGCTCACTTCGCGATACGTATCACGGAGGCAACTATAGGTCATAATCGATGGTTCTGGTCTAATATATGGGACAATGTCAGATACGTAGTCGCCAACTGTCTGGTCTGTGTCGCTGATCGTGCCCTAATATGGGGACCAAACACGATAGTACCGACATAAGTAGAGCGCCCTTTCCAGCAAGTCAGTATGGACACGACTGATATCGACGTGCCACCTGGCCCAAACCATTGCGAATATTCCATTCTTTTAGTTTTAATAGACCATTTTTCCAAATACATCGAAGTATACCCCTGCAAGACCCGTAAGGCCGCAGAGATAGCCACGTACATCGATCGGTTTCTCTATACTCACCTAGATACGGAAGAAATTCTAACCGACAATGGGTCCGAGTTCAAAGGTGAGGTAGAGGAATTACTCGCACGAAGAGGCATTACGCTTCGACACACGACACCCCATGTTTCCCAGTCCAACGGGTTGGCCGAAAATGCCAATCGCATGATTAAGACTGCCCTTCGTAGAAATTTAGCGGCGAACGACACGCGTCCTTGGCCCGAGATCGTATACCAAATTGTCGGAATTCACCGGGCCACTCCTCATGAATCCACGGGGTTTACCCCCTTTCAGCTTCGCACCAATAGCCTCCCATGCGTCGATTACCGAGGCAACTCGAAATTGCCGAAGCAGGGGGTAGAGACACGCGTACCGCCCTTAAGGCCAAGGCCAAAAGGTATGCCGATTTAATGGAGCGGGCCGTTCCGAAGCTAGCCCGAAAAAGACAAAAAATGACCGATCTAGCCCACGGAAGACAAGTCCGTAGCTACGAGGCCCGAAATGGGAACGCCGGTCCCCAACATCAATATAAATTAGGGGACCTGGTACAGGTACGTAAATGTGCACGCGACCGGAAACTCGCTCCCAAGTTTTCTGGCTGTTTTCGCGTTGTCGAACTCGGACCCAACGGTGCCAACACGGTGCGCATCGCGCCCGAGGCAAGCGCTAGCCATAGCTCCGTCCCCATCGTCCGCCATAATTCTTACATCCATCTCCTCCCTCCCTCTGACATCCCTCCATCTCCCTCATCTGCTGAAGAAGAGGACGAAGACGATCTAGTTCCCGCCTCGCTCTCTCCCTCCTGCTCCCCTCTTTCATCTTCTTCCCCGTCCTCGCCATGAGTTTCATCACAGAGCGAGCTCTTGGCGATCATCTGCTGCAGCCACGTGGCTACATCTCCGAGATCCGGCAAGTTCGTCATCCGCGGCTTAGTCCTGATCTGCGAAGGGTAGCGCAGTTTTTCTGCACCGAGGGAGTGTGTGCCGCTGCTGCGTTCCGATTCGCCGGGAGTCAGCAGGCGGTGTTATTGGCAGAGGTGGTGGCTCTTCATCGACGAGTGGCTCCAGGGACAAGCCATGTCACCACGGTCGCTGCCTTCAGCGGCGACATCAGTACGATCAGCCCACTGCGGCATACCGCGATCTTGACCTACTTGCGAGAGTGGACGTAGCAGCTGTCAACTGAGTGGCATCACGGTCTTGCACGTCCAGGGTACAGTCTAGTCCCGACATCCGGAATGGACTTCGATGTTCGCACGTCTCCGCGCCAGCCGACAGTCGTGCTCCCCACCCTTATCCCCTTCCAACGCCCCCAATGAACCGCGCCGCTCCTCTCGTTCCTCTCTCCACCTTCGGTCTCCCCTCTCTTTTCCCCACCTTCTGGCAATTCGATCCCCATCCTCGCCTTTCTTTCTTCCTCGAGCCTCTTGTTGTCCCGCTCCTTGATCCCGGGCATTGGCAGGTGTGGCGCGAGACCTTTGTCGATCTGTCTGTGTGCTTGGCCCGAGTGCAGGTGACGTGGACGCGGACCGGTGAGCATCCTGCGTGCATCGAGTACCTGGAGCTGTTGATCATCCAGGCTTGGAGAACGGACGTGGAAGGTGATCTCCTCGATTTCCTCTTCGGATCGGTGCGACCAGGCCATCGCCAGCCTATCATTCAAGAACTCATCGTCCCGCGCATGCAACTGGCTGACGATCTCTCCCTCGACATCGTTTCGCAAAGCGACGACAGTCCCGCCCCGCACATCATCACGAGGGCATTAGCACCGTATCTTCAGTGGACTGCTTGCTTGGAGGAACCTGGGAGTGATAGCACTCTTCCATCGCGGCAGGAGTACTTGAAGTCGTATGGGATCATTGATCGCGCCTTCTATCCGAAGGAAGATCCTGAGGAGGCGCCTTGAGAGGAAGAGGACGCCACTGAAGAAGAGGGCGACGCCGACGAAGAAACGTCGGAGGAGGGAAGTTATAGTGAGTACAGCGAAGGGGAGCAGAGTGAAGAAGAGGAGGAGGTAGAAGAAGAAGAAGAAGAAGAGGAGGAAGACGGATCGGAGTGGGAGGATTTGCCGAAAGAAGCGGCGCGCACAGGCACGAAGGCGGAAGCTCCCGAAGCGGCACGAAGAAGGGAAGAGATCGCCGTCGGGAAAAACCAGCTGGAGATCGCAAGCGGAGCGAGTCTGTGCATCAACGATGATCCAACCAGGGATCCAGAGCCCCCCGAGCCCGAAGATGGCGGATCAGCACCCGCGGCCCCGAGCGCATCGCGACGGAGACGGAGCCGATCCCCCTCCCCCTCCACCCCAACTCGTCCCCCAGTTCGTCCACGTACCAATGCGGGGAATCGGCCTTCGTCCCCGGTCATTATCCCGCCGTCCCCTTGATTACCTCACCCTCTGCAAGATCTCTACCCCCGTCACCTTCCCTCGCAACCCCTTTCCTCCCAATACCTTCCGTCACTTTTACTCCACCCGTCTCGCCGTCACCGTCCATCCCCACCCTTCCCTTCAATCCGCAAACCCCACGTTCTGTTTACACGTCCTCTTGTTCAGTGTCGCGTGGGAACAGAGTAACGCAGTAGAAGTCTACTGCGTAATCACAGGGACCATCCCCACGTGTCGCCATCACGAGCAGTTTCGCGCGACACTCTTCCGCACTTTCTCCACCCTTTACCCAGACTACCTCGCCTCCCTCCCTCACAACGGCGATCGGTTTCCCCGCTTTCACCGGATCATCCGCTACGAGGAGCTCCAGATGACGGAGGAAGGGATGAACCGATACTTACCCCCACTCCGTGCCAACCCTCCCCGTCGACACTCCCCCATGTATAATGTCTACTTCCCCATTCCCACACGGCGTTGAAACCCGCCACGTGTCCCTGAGCAGTACGAATCAGCAGTTTTCGCGAAGATCACGCCATTGACGATGACGTCAACTTATGCTATGATTCGATGGACTACGCTGAACTAGGAGTGCAGAGCACACGGAGATCTGATGGACCATGATGGTGCCACCTGGACGATCTCCGAAGTTCGAAGGACAGGGGGTTGCATATAACAGGACTGCAGGGAACGAGATCCGAAACAACACGAGCCGGCATACTTCACGAAGATCTTGCCACGGATGTTGTCGCCAGCTCATCGTGCTGATCCAAGCTCCTACTTCTTCCTGATTCTTCGTCTCCTCCCACCCCCCTCGTTCCTTGTACTTCTTCCTGATTCTTTGTCTCCTCCTATTCCCTTTGTTCGAACTTTCATGCAATCAGGAGATCGTATAATTTTGGAACCCCCTGCGCGTCACATATGTGACGAACCACTTCCCGACCCCGAGCTATCTTTCGTACCCCTTGACTCGAAACCCCCTCTTTGTATCATACTGACCCCACAAAACCCTCGTCGCTTTTCTTGATTTTAGGCGCCTTGCCTGGGCCTCCATTTTTTGGAAGTTCTATTGATTCTTGGAATTCTGTTTTTTGTAATTCGGGAAAGAAACGGGAAATTACGCGCGCCTTAGCGAGCGCACTGGGAATCGGGCTCGACAGTTAGGAATTACGGAATAAGCGGAGCCCGACGTATCTTTTTCCTTGCATGAATGTTCTCAGGCATGTCGGAGAAAGCTCTAGGAATTTTGTGAGAATACGGATAGGCTTTCTTTTCCCACATCGACTTTCGCGCGCGGATATGGTGATTTTAATTTTTGAATTGGTGTAGGACGTAGGCAAGCTGTAACTGTTTTGGTGCTTTTTTCTCTTGTTGTCGGCATCGCGCATACGAGCTTCCTCCTCCTTATTTCCTGCGTCCTTCTTCCCCCACGCTCTCTTCTCTCTCCCTTCCCCCTTCTCTTCTTCTCCTATCGCAACTGTTTTTCTCTCTCTCTCTCTCTCTCTCTCTCTCTGCTTTTTGCGCGCCTGTTTCCCTTTCTTGATCGTCTGAATCTTGGACCCGTCTCACGCTGCTTTTCGCGCCTCGTCTCTTCTCGCTCATCAACCTTGGCTCACGAAGCCCGGTTGATCCTCCGATCACCCCGACTCACCAATCAGACGCGTTGAGTAAGAGGATCTTC